GCTCTCCCTTTTTTCCTTTGTGAGCCTGGCTAGGGGTTTGTCTATTTTATTTATTTTTTCAAAGAACCAGCTCTTGGTTTCATTGATCTTTTGGATTGTTTTTTTAGTTTCAATTTCATTTATTTCTGCTTTGGTTTTATTATTTCTTTTCTTCTACTGGTTCTGGGGTTTTTTTTTGTTCTTTTTCTAGATCTTTGAGCTTGGAGATTAGGTTGTTTCTTTGAGTTCTTTCTTGTTTTTTGATGTGAGCTTCTATTGCTATATATTTTCCTCTTATTACTGCTTTTGCTGCATCCCATACATTTAGGATATTGGTGTCCTCCTTGTCATTCAATTCAAAGAATTTTTTAATTTCTTCTTTGATCTCCTCGTTAGTCCAGTGGTCTTCCAGTAGTGTGGCTTTTAATCTCCATGAGGTAGGATAGTTCCTTGCCTTCTTTTTATGATTTATTTCTAGTTTGATGCCTTCGTGGTCAGAAAAGATGGTTGGTATGATTTCAATCTTGGTGTATCTGTTGATGTTTGTCTTGTGCCCCAGTATGTGATCGATCCTGGAGAATGATCCGTGTGAGCTTGAGAAAAATGTGTACTCCGTTTTTTTGGGGTTTAGTGTTCTATAGATGTCTGTTAAGCCCAAATGCTCTCGGTCCTTATTTAGAGCTTTAGTTTCTTTACTTATTTTTTGTCTTGTTGATCTATCCATTGTTGATAGTGGTGTGTTGAAGTCTCCCACTACATATGTGTTTTCTCTGATGTCTGTTTTCAGAGAGGACAACAGTTGTCTGATATATTTTGGTGCTCTTTCGTTTGGTGAGTATATGTTAATGAGTGTTATTTCTTCTTGAAGTATTGTCCCCTAATCATAATGTAGTGACCATTGGGGTCTCTTTTTATTTTTTTGAGTTTGAAGTCTGTTTTATCTGATATAAGTATAGCTGTTCCTGCTTTCTTTTTTGGCCCATTTGCTTGTAGGATTGTTTTCCATCCTTTGACTTTGAGCCTATTTTATCTTTTGTAGCTAAATGTGTTTCCTGGAGACAGCAAAAGGTTGGGTTTTGTTTCTTAATCCAGGCTGCAACTCTGTGTCTTTTTATTGAAGAGTTTAGTCCATTTACATTTAGAGTTAATATTGATATGTTAGCATCTGTATTTGCCATTATGTTTGTCTTTCCTTTGATTTTATTTATTTATTCTTTTATTTATTTATTATTTATTTATTCTTTTATTCTTTTAATAACTTTTTTTTTTTTTTTTGGTCTTCTTTCGTTGTTATTCGTCCCTCTGAGGTTCTGGCTTTAGGATTCCTTGTAGTATTTTTTGGAGTGGGGGTTTAGTCGCAATGAAATTCCGGAGTTTCTCTTTGTCTGGGAAGGTCCATATTCTTTCTTCATGGAGGAAAGAGAGCTTTGCGGGATAGAGTATTCTTGGTTGGCATCTGTTTTCTTGGAGTCTGTTGACTATGTCCCTCCACTCTCTCCTTGCCCGTAGTGTTTCTTCGGAGAAGTCTGATGTCAGCCTGATTGGCTTTCCTTTGAATGTTATCTGTTTCTTCCCTCTTGTCAGCTTCATTATTTTTTCCTTGTCCTGGATTCTTGGGAGCTTTACTATTATGTGTCTTGCTGTGTTTTTCCTTTCGTCGTGGAAGTTTGGTGTTCTTCTTGCTTCTTGTATATCAATTTTCAGCTCCTTCTTCTCATTTGGGAAGTTCTCTTCATTATATCCATGAATATTTTCTCTGTTCCTACATCTCTCTCCTCTCCTTCTGGGATTCCTATAACTCTTATATTTCCTTTCCTCATGGAGTCAGATAGTTCCCGAAGTCTTTCTTCATTCTTTTTCCTTCGTACTTCTCTTTCCTTTTCTGTTTTGGTTCTTTTTATTTCTGTGTCTTCAAGATTACTTATTCGTTCTTCCATTTCATCTATTCTGCTTTCATTGCTTTTCCCAGAGTTCTTTAGTTCCTCCATTAATTCTTTGATCTCCTGCATTTCTCTTACTTCCCTCTTTAGGGACTCAATTTCCTTCTTCTGATCTATCACTTTTTTAATCATGGCAATTTTAAATTCTCTTTCTGGAAGGCTCAGAAGTTCTTCCAAGTTGCTGTCGTTGCAATCTGGGGAGTGGTTTTCTTTTTGTGGTGTGCTTCTTTCCTGAGGAGTTTTTAGGTTGCGTGTGGTTCTTCTACTCCCTACTGTCTGTTTTCTAATTTGTCGTATGCGTTGGGACACTGTGTTGCTCGGACTGACTGACATCTTGGGTGAACTTCTCCGCTCCCCTCTGGCTCTTCCAGGAGCCATCTCTGTCTTCTGGGGGAGCTTTCTGCTGGTTTTAGGCAGTTTTTACTGAAGAAATGTCCCTGTTCTCAAATGGCAAAGCGGGATGCAGTTCCTGCGCCTCCGGTTTCAGGCACACTCTTCTGCGCACCCGGTCTGCCCCGGACGTGGGTGCCTGCTCCCTCTGTGGGCTCAGACTGCTGGTCGGAAGGGCCTGGCGTGGAATAACTTCCCGGCTGGCCACTGGGTCCTCCAGAAACCTTCTGCCCTTTTCAAGCAGTCTTAAGAAATGTCCTGTTTTATAGGGTATTAGTGACTTTTTTTTTTCCTGGTCGCTAGGTGGCGCCAGAGATCTCTCCTATTGTCCTTGGGGGGCTGTTTTTCGCCTCCCCCCACCCCGTGGTACAGAGAACAGAGCGGGAATGGTAGGGTACACCTCAACAGCTTTGGGGTGCTGTGTCTGCCTTGTGCCCCACCGTCGTGGAGAAACCACGCCCCGATTTTCGTGCCCCGGGTCTCAGTTCAAAGCCCTCAGTTCCAGGACGCGGGCTGTAGCCCAGTTCAGTGGCGCGGGAATGGCGCCTTTTGCACAGCTCCCCTGCCTGGGCGCCTTGTTCCTGCTCGCTCAGGGAGGGACCTTCACCTCAGTGAGGACCTCCGCGCGTCTCCCCGCAAGCCTAGGTCGCAGGCGCGGGGACCTGGGCAGCTGCGATCCTGGTCTGCACTTGCTTTTCAAGCGAGCCGAGCGCGCCGCGTTTCTGCGCAGGCTTACTGGCAGCCCGGGCTGTGTGCGAGTCTCCCGGGGTCTTTGTTCTTCTCTAATGGCGCCCGGAGCCGTTTGCTCACCGCTGCGGTGGATCCTGCAGGGTTCGCCTCAGCTCCCGTTCACGGGGTGTGGTGGCTGCAATAGTTCCTTTCCACTCACAGTCCTGCTTGCTGCGTCGTTTGTTCTTGTGGGCCGTTTTGGTTTGTTGTTTCCTCCTCTCTGCCGGTCGGAGAGTGCCCCTTCTGTGGGCGGGGGAGGGGAGCAGGGTTCTGCGCTTCCCTCCCTTCTAGTCCTCTTTTATGGCCAGTTCTTCTTCGGGCAGTTCGCTGGCATCACCTGTTTATCTTCCGTGTCCCAGTTCTCACTGGGACCTCCCGCTTTTCCTCCCTATTCACTTTTTTTAATGGGAGATCTTACTCGCAGCGTCTCCTCGCCGCCATGTTGCTCCGCCCCCTCGAGGCTCTATCTTTTAAAGCCAGACATGAAATAAACTTGCAAAAATATCCTTCTGGTTTTGAACTTAAAGATTTTTTTCATAAAAATCTGCTCTTGATATATAGTGACTATAACTATTTCTTTTAAATTAATTTTTAAAATTCTTATTTTTAATTTCTAATACAGTAAATATCAGCAGATAGACTCCACATTAACAGAGGCTCTCTGGGGTCCTTCATACTTTTTAATTGTAAAGATGCCCTGACACCAAGAAACTTGAGAATTGTTTTGACTCTGCTCGACACATATAGACAGCAAATTCCTTTAAGTGCATGGAAAATTAGAACTCTAATGTAGCCCAGGAGATTAGTGTTCTTGAGTATATGATGACATTTGGTTTTGGTTGATACCCTTGATTATTTTCAAGTAGACTGTGTGTATGCTGTCAGGCAGGCTGCTTCCTATTTTGAATGGCAGCCTTTTTTTCTCCCCATTTGTTACTTGTTTCCATACATTGCTTTTTTTTAAGCAGGAAACTTTACCAGGGAATTGATGAGATTTGTGCCTCAGTGATTAGTCCTTATTTTCTTTACTTCTTTTTTCCTTTTGTTACGGTTAGACATTATCCAGAGAGCTGTTCAGAGTGTTAGGATCTTCTACAGTGGCCTGCTTTGTTATCCTAAGTTGTTACTAAATTTTTAGGAAAAAAGCATACAATATTTGAAATCAGAGGATCACTGAAGTTTTTCCCAGATGATGTGAAGAATTAAAAAAGATGGTAACAAACAAAGTCATTCAGATTTTATTTTTTTTTAGTCCTACTTATAACCTGTTACATGCATGTGGCCGTGCTTGCTTATCAACTAGGTGACAAAACTGTTCTGCTGGAAATAAATTTGTTAGAAGGGGTGTTTATCATATAAATATCTAGTTTATTGGCATTACTTTTTCTTTAGTTAAAATAAACCATCATATAGCAAAAGAAAAAAGACCCACTTTCCCACCTACTTGCATGAAACTGCATAGTTTCCCTTTTTACTTTGTTCGTTGCACTTGGTACTGATTCTTGAATTTTGAAGGCCTTTCACTATTAACGAACTATTGTAGATCTGATTGTAATTTTTGAGACTGAGGATAGTGTTGTACAATAATCAGAGAGATATTTCTCTACTCTTTTCTAGACTTTTATATTTTCAGCTAATAGTTTTGAGACTTACGTGTGTGGCACTTTATTTCTCTGATAGCTGAGTTACATGGAAGTAATACATCTGACAGTTTTTCCTCTTATTGGCTTTAATGGACTTAATAGTGATTTACTTTCTGAAATGACACGGATTTTCCTTCTCTTTGCAAATGATTATGTCTCTTTGCAAATGAAAGTCGTAGAGGCTTTCACCAGAGTATGAGGGCTCTACTTTGAGGTTCTCAGCTAGAGGGATATTTATTTAGCTACAGAAATAAGGCCTGATGATTTCTCAACTGTGTTCTTAAATCAGTTTTCCTTGTTTGTGTGTGGTTTTTTTTAGACCAAAGATGAAGAAGAAGCCTTTCTGGATTGGAGTGACGATGATGGTGATGGATTTGACCCAAGCACACTTCCGGATCCAGATAAGCACAGAAGCTCTGAAGAATCAGATAGTGAAGATATGGAAGATAAAATTAGGTACATTTTTATCATTGTTATTAAGTACACGGGTCATCTCCTTTTAAAAAGTTCAGAAGATGTCTAGAGTCACAAGAGTTATGTTCTTCTCAGATGTATGAATGAACAGAGAGTTGCTTTTTCTTTTTATGGTCTTATTCTTGTCTCTTTCTGAATCCATTATGATTAAGTATTTCATGCACTGGGGTATATTTAATGCAAACAGAGGCAGGATTATTTTGATTCTCTGTCAGGACTCTGAGAGTGGTGGTAAAAATCCTCTGAATTTTAAATAAGGGCAGTTTATAGCTTCACATCCTTTGATATAAAATTCAGTAGCATACACACACACACACAGAGTAATGGAAAACTTACACATAAACAGGACTTGACACATTCTCTGTTTAAAATCTGCTCATTTGTAATGTGGACTTATTTGCTACCATGCCAGAAACAATGAAATATGATGAATAATAGTGTGACTTGTCAGCGTTCGTTTTCACAGGGCTGTGTGTTAGATTACACTGAGACTCTATTAATTTAAAAGTTCAGGACATTGAACTTTATGGACATTCTAAACAGATGAGCTTAGTCTAAATTTATGAGGGGAAAGGGACTTATTAATGGCAAATGAAGTTCATAGGGTAGAGGGGAAGAAGGCTTTGATTGAACCCCTCCATTGCTAGCCCAGGGAGGGTAAAACTGGAGAAATGGCCTCTGAGAGCTGTGTTGCCATTTTAAGTAAGAACAACAATATGAAAAGATCTTAAGAAGATTATCCCTGCAGGAGGGAATGCTGTAGAGATCATTTCCATTTCCGAGTTACCCTTCATTTAATCTTGTGCTCATTTAAATAGAGAATTATTTTGTAATATATATATAGAATAGCATTTAACTTAACCAAGGTACCATCTTCCCAAAAGACTTTAGAAACTTGAGGTGCTTGCCTTTGATCAACTAGGGAGTGGACAGTAGTTTTACCACCACAGAAGACGCTGCAGAAGAAAATAACTTGATAAGAATTTGGAAAAACACACAAATGTATGTATGCAGTGAGGTTCCATAATTTAGGTTCTGGGCATATTCCTAATCTCTAGAAATTGACCTGTAAGAGTAAAGGTGCATACTTTGCTTCAGAAGATGCCTTGGTGCACCTGTTGGGGCCTGGAATTTGTGGTCTAATTAACATGGAAGTCTTTATACCATTAACTAACAAATGTTTCTGTGTAATTTTACTCTATGGTGGGAGCATTAATCGGGTCTCACAGTTTGTTAGGCAGTCATATTTTGCACATCTTTCTAATATTACCTTTATAACAAAGAGTAACTTTTGAAAGCATGGGCAAGATGTCAGCATTCCTTCTGTATCTGATTCATAAAGATATTTTCCTAACATTTTTAATGATAGTTTCTGGGTCATTGTTAATCTATGTCATTCTCCTGGCATTTCTAACCTTCACAGTGACATTTTCTGCAACTACTTAGTTATATGACTTGTCCTCTCACGGTGTCACGTATTTCATCCTCTTAATTAGCCTGTAATTGTTTGATAGCCAAAAACTGTCTTTATAACAACACTTTAAGCTCTAATCCCTGCTCCTGCCCCCAACATTAATGTCACAGACGCAGAGAAGGCCTTGAAATATTGAATTGATTCATTAAAGAGGTTTATAGAGTAAAAAATAAGTGGAACTATAAACTGATTTTATATATAAAATTATTTCATATAACTCATATATGTCTATATATGGTAATGTAATTGGTATTAGTAAGGTTCTGAAATAATGGTTGGAGAATTGGAAGAAGCCAAGCTCAGGTACTGTAGCGGAGGTAGACAAGAAGGTAGGTGTACCTTGAGATGCCAAAACATCTTAAAGGTTCAGATGAAAAATATTTAAGCATTAAAGGAAACTAAAATACTTTACTTTCAGGTACAACTAGTTAATTCTGAATTATCAGAGATTGAAATGAATTGGTAAATTTATCTTATATTGAAGAAAAAAAATGTCTTTTGTGGAAGAGACTACCCACAGGGCTTTATTCTTTCAGCACATTTTAGGGTTTTCCTGACAGTTTTGTCTTTCGTTTGTCAACACAGTGATTATCTAGTCTAGCCTCCTTCTTCTTATAGTTGAAGAGGCAAAAGGGTAAAATAAATTGTCTATGGTCACAGTACAAGTCAGGGACAGATTCTGTAGTCCTAATACTGCAATCAAATTATGTAGAATTACTGTAGCATTAGGAGAGGTAGCTCAGGGACACTGCTGGGAAATCACATTTAATGTCATTCCCCTGAAATCTTGGTCCACAGTCTAAACATAGGAGAGACTTGATGAGGCCATGGTTTCCCAACCTCAGCATTACTGACAACGTGGCCCAGATAATTGTTTAAGGAATCTGGAGGTGGTTGTAGACTATTCTTTATCATCCTTAGCCTCAATCACTAGCCCTTTCCCATCTGGGACAACCAGAAATATCTTCAGAAATTGCCAGGTGTCAAATGTCCCACAATTGAGAACCCCTGGACTGAAACCAGGATTGGGAGGTGTATATTACTGGTGCTTAATTTCCCCTGCTTCTCATCCAGGTTGGGCTTTGTCTGCCACTCTTAGACTAGGAGGCAGGATATAGATATAAGTTATATAGGAAGTCTGTCTGTGAAATTTCTAGTTGCAATCTCAGTTTCTTTTTTTCCCTCCTGTTTTTTTTCCTTTTTGCTTCTCTTAAAATTACTGCAGTGGCAGTGAATAAAGATATATGTAAACAAAAACCAAAATTCTTTTGGATAAGGAAAAGCATTCACTAGTAAATCCATATACACTAGAATTTGAGAGTAGTAATTTCTTTTCATAATAATAGCACCAGTTTGGCTGCATCTTTTTTTCTTTGCCTCACGTAAACATGACTAGTTGGTAAGATGTTGTGAGGTCAGTTCAGCGGGTCCTGCTGGCACAATCATGGGCTTTATTTGCTGCACTTTTTCTAGCCTCGACTTAATAATTGTAGGCCCACCCAGTGTTCCAGCCTCTTGGCCATCTGTACTCTGACAGTTGGTTATTCTCTGGATATTAACTTTGCATCTTCAGGTATGCCAGTCAGATACACCAGTTAGAAAATGGCTCTTCCAACCTAACTCCACAAGCAATTTTCTTTGAAAGTTTCTTCTGGGTCTTCTTTTTCCTTCACTTAGGTGACACCCACAAATATTGAGCATGAGTAACACTTCTGTTTCTTCACAGGGAAAGCTAGTTAGTATGAATGGGGCAAGGAGGGGCAGGTGTAGTGGACAACGACCGAATCTGAGGTCAGTAATTCCTCCTCAGGGAGGTCTGTTAGGCTTTTAAACAGTTTGTACTTCGCTGCCTCCTCAGCTCAGCTGCAGTGGAATTTAAACTGCTTTCAGCCCTCTGTGGGATATCAGAATTGCCATCTCTAACACTGACATTCCAAAGAGATTGTGATGTGCATCATCCAACTCCTTTAAGGGAGCATCACAGAAAGAGATGTCTTGTTTATTGCATCGTTCCAGGGACAATGAGAAATAATGTGACCTTGAGTTCCTTTTAAAAGCTTTTAAGAATACTGCTTGGATGGCTCCATTTATCTTCAGAGTCAGAACTGTGAAATTGGGGAGTGGGCCATCTACCCGCAGAACAGAAGGATGTCAGCTACTTGGTCAGTGTGGGGAGATGTCTGAAATCTTCAAGCTTTTGTGTACTGTTTTTGAAAACAGGTGTAGCAAGGAGAGCTTGCTTTGATGCTTTCTGATTTCTTTTCGCACCTTCATCCATTTACCAGTTGGTCCAGCTGGGCTTTACTCTGACTTTCAGTTGTGATTCCTCCTTTGAATCTGCAGGATTAGCATAGTTATTGTTATTAAAGTGGAACGATTTGGTAGGAAGCCTTGTAGTAGACTCTGTGACATATAGAATTTATGGGTTACCTGGGAATCATGTGTTCTTGTCTCCAGTGAGTACTTGAGGTAGCTTTTTATACATTTTAAGGGTGAAAAATACCTCAAATAACTACAGTTGTCTGTGTGCTCATAAGTGATTTTTCTTTATCTCCAAATAGTTCATATAAGGTAGTTATACCACTTTCACAATAAAATGTTTCAACAAGCTTCTGTATGCAGTGCCAAGAAGTGGAATAAGAACCTTCTGCATCATTTAAATTATATTTTACTTATTTATTTAAGAGTTAAAACTCTCCACTTGATCTTGTTCATTTCTGGCTTGTTGTCATATTTCTTTTATCCATTCTTTCAACGAAGAATGTTTTGTGCCTGTCATGTGCCTAGTTTAGTAAGTGCTGGTACCTCCTTCCTGTTTTCACAAAGCTTTAATTCAGTGGACTTCACGAATAGCTAAGAAACAGTTGCAAGAGAATGTGATGGACACATGGGGTGATTTGTGCCCTGAGGGAGGTGCAGTGGAGGGGAGTAGAGGGTGACCATGGAGTGCATGTTGGTGATGAACTAACCAGGGCCTGATGAGTCAGGCAGATCTTCCTGAAGGGAACGGTGTCTAGGCTAATTCCGAAGTCTTAACTGAGTAGGGACTTGAGTAACTTGCGCTTCTAGAGAATGTGGGTTTTGAAGTGAAACAAGAGTGTTTTTAACCATATTCCAATTAAGAGCTTCTTTCAATAAAGTTGTTCCTTTTAGCCATGCCTCACAAGCTTAGAGATTTGATTCTGAGCATGTAATAAGAGATTAATTTTTGTGTATCTGGTAGCATTCATCATGTTTGGTTTATGGCCATTTTCATGTGAATTGCTAATGATGTGAAAATTTGCAAAGCATTAAATACGATGAAAAAGAAGCAGCTGGATATTCCAGATATTCATTATCCAGTCAAATTAAGTTTTTAATATTTATAGTCTTAGCCTTTTTCAAACAAACAAAAAAAAAACCAAAAACAGAAAAGGTTGTGGTTATTGCCTCATATCAATCTTTTCTTCACAGAATGCAGTGTCTAAGGCAGGTTACTTTATAAAAGAATTGTGTGGTGGGATATTTG